ACAACCCAACCGCTGGGTCAAAACAACCCAACCGCTGGGTCAAAACAACCCAACAGCTGGGTCAAAACAACCCTGCTGGGTTTGTCCCTTTTTAACCCAGCGCTGGGTTATATTTAACCCAGCATTTTTTAGAGTTTATATATATATATATATATTGACCTTAAAAAGTTTTAAAAAATTAAAGTAATAAAAACTGTAACTTAAATTAGTATAGAGAAAGAGTAAGAGAGAGAGAGAGGCATTAAAATGAAATAAATATTTTTAATTGTAAAAAATACTTCAATTAAAAAATCACTTTGCAAACCTTTAGAAAATCAAAGATATTTGATTTGGGGTTTGCAATGGTTGACTGTTAAACGTATGCATTTACTCTCCTCGTGTATTTTGGTTACATACTCGGTTTAGTAACTGTTAAAGAACAGTTACCCAACAGGCCAAAGCACAGCAGACAGTCTATCAGGGACGTCGCTTTATTCTCTCTGCTGAAGCTTGTTCTGCACAAACTCTATTCCTGATCATCTTTTATGAGACTGTTAAACGACACTGGCTTCACTCTGCAGCATTGGCGGGTCATCTGAGGCCTGAATTCCCGGATTGAACCTTTGCCCTAGATTTGTATGAATGCATGAGCATGTGTAAATCTCCCGCCGAGGTGCACGATGTACTTTAGGGTTAGGTGTACTCACCTAACCCTAAAGTAGAATGGGTTAGGGTGGGTTTTATAAATGGGTTTTATGTACTCTACTCTGTAGAGAATGAGTCCCAGACAGTTATTTTGGTGACTTCTCAGTTCACGCTCACATCTTCCATGTTATGATCACATAAACAACCTAAGTAAAGTGTGCAGATGTTAGTAAGCATTAAAACAAATGCCATGCACTGTAAAAACCGGGAACCGATCAGTGAAACAGAGCTTTTCGAAACTCCGAATCAGTTAAACCATTGCTAGAAGAATAATTAACTTTTCTTCGATGACTGGTTTGAAAACAACCTTCTTTTAGTTGGTCAGCTTTTTAACTCGGAAGGCAGACTTTATAACTATTCAGATTTCTTACAGAAATATAATATTCCTGTATCTGCTGATGAATGTGCTGTTGTTTTCAATGCCAGTGTTTTTTCTGTTGCAAGGTATTACATTTCCATTTCCATGTACTCTCTGAACATAACTGACACAATGATTGAAAGTGTTTGCTTTTCTGCAGATCAACAATTCCTTATGTAATACCATATTGGACTAATATTGTGGAGAATATACCTTGGGAGAAAGTATGGACCTTGCCTATAGGTATCTGCTTATACCAATAAAATAAAAGAAATAACATTTAAACTGATTCACAAATGTTACCCGACTAAAGCCTTTCTTAGGAAATATAAGTCAGACATTGAAGTAAATTGCAGTTTTTGTCATTCTGCTGAAGAAGACTTCATTTGTTTTGGCAATGCACTTACAGAAAAATTTTGGTCAAAATTTTTAATGTTTGTCCAATTTTATTTAGTAAGTGACTTCTCTTTTTGTTTTAAAGATGTTTTATTTCTTTTTTTGGATTATTTGACCACTTAAAAAAGATACAGGAAAATATTACATAATTAATTTATCTTAGCCAAATTTCATATACACAAACAAAAATGCATTGGCTCCAAACCTCTTTTTTCTTTATCCAGAGCTGACTTGGACAAGTATATGGAAACTATCCAAAATTCTGTTCATCTGAAAGCAAAGAAAACTCTATTTCTTTATTCATCCTTTGTGTCTTCTTAAGACTTAAATGTATTACTTTGTTGTTGTTTTGTTGTTGTTTGTTAAAAATACAGTTTTCAAGTCAGGTAACATTTGTGAATCAATTTAAATGTTATTTCTTTCACTTTATTTGTAAGCAGATGCCTGAGGCAAGGTCCATACTTTCTCCCAAGGAACTGTTGTTATCTCTCTCTGGAAGCTTAGAGAACCCTGATTTTATAGTTATTTTTTCTGTTGGTCTGCAGAAAAGCACACATTTCCAATCACATCATTTGATTCAGATCGGAACTTCGCAGCGGGTTCGCGAATCATTTGATTCAGATCAGAACTTCGGAGCAGGTTCGCAAATCATTTGATTCAGATCAGAACTTCGGAGCAGGTTCGCGAATCATTTGATTCAGATCAGAACTTCGGAGCGGGTTCGTGAATCTTTTGATTCAGATCAGAACTTCGGAGCAGGTTCGCGAATCATTTGATTCAGATCAGAACTTCGGAGCGGGTTCGCGAATCATTTGATTCAGATCAGAACTTCTGAGCGGGTTCATGAATATTTTGATTCAGATCGGAACTTCGGAGCAGGTTCGTGAATCATTTGATTCAGATCAGAACTTCGGGAGCGGGTTCGTGACTGTTTTGATTCAGATCGGAACTTCGGAGCGGGTTTGTGAATCTTTTGATTCACATCGGAACTTCGGAGTGAGTTCGTGAATCTTTTGATTCAGATCAGAACTTCGGAGCGAACCCTCTTCTCTTTTGACTCTTTTGATTCAGATCAGAACTTTGGAGCGGGTTCATGACTCTTTTGATTCAGATCAGAACTTCGGAGCGGGTTCGTGACTCTTTTGATTCAGATCGGAACTTCGGAGCAGGTTCGCGAATCATTTGATTCAGATCAGAACTTCGGAGCGGGTTCGTGAATCTTTTGATTCAGATCGGAACTTCGGAGCAGGTTCGCGAATCATTTGATTCAGATCAGAACTTCGGAGCGGGTTCGTGAATCTTTTGATTCAGATCGGAACTTCGGAGCAGGTTCGCGAATCATTTGATTCAGATCAGAACTTCAGAGCAGGTTCGCGAATCATTTGATTCAGATCAGAACTTCAGAGCGGGTTCGTGACTTTTGATTCAGATCGGAACTTCGGAGCGGGTTCATGACTCTTTTGATTCAGATCAGAACTTCGGAGCGGGTTCGTGACTCTTTTGATTCAGATCGGAACTTTGGAGCGGGTTCGTGAATCTTTTGATTCAGATCGGAACTTCGGAGCGGGTTCATGACTCTTTTGATTCAGATCAGAACTTCGGAGCGGGTTCGTGACTCTTTTGATTCAGATCAGAACTTCGGAGCGGGTTTGTGACTCTTTTGATTCAGATCGGAACTTTGGAGCGGGTTCGTGAATCTTTTTATTCAGATCGGAACTTCGGAGTGGGTTCGCAAATCATTTTGCGAATTGAAATGAACTGAAATGATGGTTTGCGAATCATTCAGATTGGGAATACAGAGAGCGGATCGCGAATTATTTGATTCAGATCGGAACTTCGGAGCGGGTTTCGCAAATCTTCTGATTCAGATCGGGACTTCATGTTCATATATTCTCACAACAGTTATTCTGGGGCCATGAAACGTTTGTTTGAATGTTTGGTCAAAAATGCTGCTTGTGGGTGGCAACTTTTTAAAAAGAGCTATTTCTAAATTATTTAATTGGATTTAACCGAATAAAATGAGTTTTGTTGGTATAAATCAATGCATATAGATTGAATAATGTTACATAATACACTATTTTTGACTTATTTTTTGTTATTTTAGATGTTACCTTTTTTCTAGTGTGTTCCTTTCACTGCAAACTCAGACATGAAATATTGATTTGACTTGAAATGATTTTATTATGCATAAGGAAAGATGAGTTTGGAGTAAAATGAGAAACTAAAAGCTAATATCCATTTGCCTGCAAAAGTAGCAACTTGCACTTATTACCTTAAAAACATTTTTTACCTCATTTAACCCACAAAAATAGTGTTGCCTGTAAATGTATTTAGGTTTATTTAGTGATGCAAAATAATACATAACATTTGACTTTAATAAAACCAGTTATTTTAGATGCTACCAATTTTATATTGCATTAAGAAAGATTAGTGTGGAGTCAAATGAGAAACAAGAACAGAGAGATTATATTAAAGAAATATATCTAAAAATAATTTTCCTTAAAGAGGCATTTTTACCTGAATGAATACATAAAAATAATATTTGTTGTTATGAATTTGATTATTTTAGGTTGATTCAGTGATGCTAAATGATGTGTTTGATTTTTTTTGAAAGTTACCATTATTTTGGGAAAATGCTCAATCATACAACAATATTGGACTGCAGATGCAGTGATTGACCAATCAAGCATCAGAAGCACATTTCATCCAGGAGCTGTTCACTATTTTTAGCTCACTGAATCTCTCCTATTTGCAGATTCTCATCCGAGCACAAAGTGCACTAAACTCGAGCACCCACACGATTCCCAGTATAGTATGTGATGTGTTTACAGAAAGTCACTCTTTAACTCATTAAACAAAGTTTTGGTTAAAAATAACTTCAACCTCCACACTGATTGTCCTTGAGAGTGTTGATGTCACTAAAGATGAACTCACACAGATATTTCATGTCATTGGCCTAAAGCTAATATCTTCATATTACCAATAGGGCCTAATCAAAAATGGTTTAATGAAATAAATAAATAAATTGAATAAAATAATAAAATAAACTAAGAAAAGACTCTGTTGGCATGTTGAGCTTCTGATGTTTCTCAGATATGAATGATGAACTTATAGTTTGTGTAGAAAACGCTCCGGTTACTG